TGTGCCCTGACTATCCGGTTACCCTTCAGGTTCAATTAAGAACACTCGCTACTAGTCACAATGGGTATTCAACGAACTCGGGTCCCAATTGATGATACCTGTGTGGCTTCATACTCAGTCCGAAAGGCGAAAGGGAACGCAGACGTCCTGTAATCCGCTCACTACAGGCCTTTTTTTCTATACTTTATTTTGTTGAGCTGGAACCAACAAAGGCCAGAGAGACTGGAATGCTCATTATTAGCCGACATCTGCTAGTCATACCAAATCCTGTGTGTGTATCACCTGGGATTCGAACCCGCGACCCTTTAGTCATGGAGTGTAACACTATTATTGGGCCTGTTATTTTGGCCAGTTGCGATTGGGAATATAATAATTCTAAGGCGCTCACCCGTCTGGTTAGGGAACGTACTCTTCCAGTTGTGCCTTGGAGTTCAATCTAGAACCAAAGATCCCGGGTTCCAATTTCGTGTGATCCATATCTGGGATCAGGTATGACTGGCTGATGACGGCTAATAAGCCAGAGATGGGCATTCCAGTCTCCCTGGTCTTTGGCAGTTCCATTTCAATAGAATAAAATACCGAATAAATGGCGTTAAGTGGTCATATGACGAGGCTTCTTCGTCCCGCTGCACCTTCTGATTGAGCACAGAGCCACACAGCGATCAGGGATTTAAACGTGAGCTACTTGGATATCCAGTGTGGCTTGTATCTCGCAAGTCGCTATGTGACTTTAGAGGGCTCTGGAGTGAGCTCCAAGGCACAATGGGACAACAATATTCTCTAAGGAGATTGGTGAGCGCCCTACCTCCGTATTATTTAGCTCTTGATTGTCCCTTTTTTCTGATCTGCCACAGTACGTTTATACTCTCCTTACTGCCAACTCTCCACATTTCCTAATCCAGGAAGCAAAATGCGCTCTTCTGACTTACTGCATGTTTATTCAATTCCCAGAGATCTACGGTTAACAGTTTATTTTACCACCGTAATGAGCTCACGGCTTCCGGGCGGGCCGCGTTTCAACCTTTTACCAAACTCAAACCTAAATTAGGATTTGACAAACCCCAAAGCGGCTGTTTATGCTCGTTTCAAACGTTGCCGCTGAGTTTTCCATAAAAGAATCATTCATTTCGGAC